GCCGTCCCGCCGCGCCCCACCCGGTCCCCCCTCGCGCGGATCACTGAAAAGTTGCGCGAACGTGAGCCAAAGGGAGGAAGGCTTGGCACATTTCTGTCCAAGGGCAGTGCTCTCGCTCCCCTCCCATCGCTTCGTTCCCGAAGCTGAGATAATTCCCCGGGTGAACTGACCAGGCCGGGCCGCTGTCACCCACCGCCCCACTTTTGCTCACGGGAATCGATGGGTGCACACGGTTAAGGTGCGGCTAAGGAGTGGGTGAGGGTCGCGGCAGAAGACGCCAACCCAGCCCCATTCTGCCCGCCCCTACCCCTTGGCTTTCTACCACCCCAGCCCCTTTGCCCCTGTTGGCAAACCCGGGTTTCAAACCGGAATTCCACCGGCAAACCTTTGCGCTCCTTTAGCTCCCAGGTGGTGGTGGTGGGGGGGTTCAGTTCTGTCGGGGGGTCTGCCTCTCCCTCTCCTGTACCTGCAAGGCATCCATCCATCCCTGCCCAGGAAAGAGTTAAGATTGACTGCGAGCTGGAGAGGTCTTGTTGGGATGTAATCTGCATTTTTCAACTACCGCGTAATAAAAAGTGGGAAGTTTTGAGACACCTTTCCTGATTATACCTTTGGCGATACTTTAGGTTTTACATTTAATTTGCATTTTGTTCTTAGTGAATATTGAAGTCTTGAGTGTAGGATTGAATTTTATTAGGACATCTGGACTGACAATATCAAATCAGACACCAGTGTCCCAAAGCATGCTGAAATTTCAGAGTTAATTAGAACGCAGTGTGTTTAATTAAAGCCAATTATAATATTTGAAATTATCTGATCGATCCGTGTGTCTACAGTTTGGGTCTGTTTAGGTGTTGATTGGCGCATTCGGCGCGCTGTTCTATCTAGAAACTACTCTGGGGAAAGTTTGCTTTGTAAACTGGAGGGGGCGGGCCGGCGGGCGGGCGCGGAATCCGCGTCCCGGTGCCTGCTCCGGCGCATCCAGCCCGACTGCCTTGGGGCGCCGCTGAACGCAGCTCGGGAAATCTGGCTCACTGTTAAGTGGCTGCACCTTTTCGGGTCCCAGGGACCCCGCCACGCACCAGCTGTCCTTTCCCAGCTCGGGTGCTTCTCCGAGCTTTTTTACAGAGAGGCAACCTTTAAGGTTGCAGGGTGCGTTGGAAGCAGCCCGGCTCGCTGAAAGCTAGTGTTTGCTTGGGATTCTTGGTCTGGCTGAGGAGCCCCCACGGCTGACTCAGAACAGTGGGGGCAGCCAAAGTGACCAAAGGAACCAGAGAAAAGTTAGGAGACAATAAACTGTTCACTTCCCAACTGTGCGTGTTGCAGCAGCCAAGGTGCGCCCCAGCGTTTTCGGCCCGCTTGGAGCGCTCTGGATTTTCCAGGGAGAGAGTGAGCGAGTTTCGTGTCGCGTCCGCTGCCCCTCACCCGGCCCGCCACTTGGAGCTCGCGCTTCTGGCCAGCAAGGGCGTGGACGCGGCGCTCCCCGCCCGGGCCTTGTTCCCGGAGCTGGGCTCCACCTGACTTTTGCAGATGCACGTGGGCGGCAATTAGGACCTGTAGGAGGGTGGACCGTTCTGTGCGCTCCGGGGGTCACGAGGTCAGAGAGGGCAAGTGCACCGGCGGTGCGGGAGCCGCAGCCCAGCTGTTGCGGCCGGAGAGCCGCGGCGGCCACCTGCCCCAGGGTAGGTAGGAGCCTGGGCTGCTCGGCGGCGCTCTGCTCTCCCCACCCCAGGAGGCGCTGTTTGTCAAACTTGGCCGGCTTGGCAGGAGGCGCCTGCATGTTCTCACTCGGAGAATTGAGCCTTTTGCTGTACTCGGGGGTCGGGCTTC